AGGTAAGACCTGAGAGAGATTGCGGGAGAGGGGGGAGGCAGGGGGGAGAGATGATAAGGTGTTCTAACGAGAGAGGAGGGATGATAGGAGTTACAGAGGGAGATCCATTATCTTCATACTTATCTATCTTGTCTATTTCTAGGCATGAGATTGCTCTTCCTGCATGAGGATGTTTGCGCTGGTTCTCCATGTACCAAACCTGTGTGTGTGTGTGTGTGTGTGTGTGTGTGTGTGTGTGTGTGTGTGTGTGTGTCTGTTTGAGGCCCATATATGTGCATGAATGTATAAACACACTTATATTGCCTTCCCCTTTGCCTCGTGTGTGTGTGTGTGTGTGTGTGTGTGTGTGTGTGTGTGTGTGTGTGTGTGTGCGTGCATCCTCATTCTGTCCCCCCCCCCCCTCGGCCCGCTAATGAAATATTTATTTATTTCTCAAAGCGAGGGCGGCGCGTGGCGAGGAACTCAAATGAAATGTCATATCTCATTGCGTCCCCCCGTGAGGAGGCGGAGGCAAAGGGAGCGGACGAGCGGAATTGCTGCTGAATTATATACAGAGGATTCAGAGGGGAGTGATTACAGGACGGAGAGGGAGGGGGCAGAAAGAGTAAGACGGGACGGGGGGACGGGGGGGGGCAACATACTCATTCATCTCCCATCACGTATTGTTGTGTGTTTGTGTGTCGTGTTGCTTCTCTGTGACATCATCAGAGCTTCAGATGTTGAACTCTTGCTGTTTTGACGACTGTTTGCTGCTGTACACACACACGCACATGCATGCACACACAAGCACGCACGCACGCGCACACAAACGCACACACACACACTGAGGAGAGCCACAGCAGTGTTTTTAACACAGCCCATCTACACTTACCAGAGGGACCAGCTTATCTAGTGGTAGCTGTTATCATTGCACTGAGAGCGCGCACACACGCACACACACACGCACACACACACGCACACACACACACACACACACACACACGCACACACACTCACACACACACACACGCACACACTGTGTCTTGCCACGAAACCGAGGGAGATTAGGAATTCCTAATCTTCTACTTGTGTTGCACAAACATGCACAGACGCACACTGCGCTGTTTCCTAAGCGGAGGCTCTCGAGGGACAGCGCGGCCTGCGGCGCCGCGGCCTGAAGGGGGCGCCGGCTCGTCGACTTCCAATAAACCCGCATTATGTTTTGTTTGTGTTTTTGAGTTTTACGACACTTTAGTTGCCAAAACTCCTACGTAGGCTCCGGTCAGCCGGGCCCGTGAGTCGCTCGCCGGGTTCGCTCATTTATTCAGAGGTTTTGTGTTTAAGACCTTTTACAACAACATTTGGAGAAAAGACAAATATGCACCTGCTGAAGCCACCAGACGAGGGTCGGGTTCGAAGGTGAAGAGCCTCCGTTCCCTCGAGAGTTTCTCGGCGTGGCCGCTTCCTCTGGCCGGGCCTTTTTCCCACGACCTTCTGCGTCGGCGCCGCAGGTGCAAAAACACGCCGATCAACAAACAAACACACTGTGGAAACCAACACGGGGGCTAATGACGGGACAGCTGCGCTCCGCTCGCCAAGGCTCCCTTCCATTAGTCCACTGCCTCTTTATGACTTTCCCTGAAGGAGTTAATGTGTCAGGGGGCCGGGGGGGGAGAGAGGGAGGGAGGGAGGGAGAGGGAGGGGTGACACGTCTGTTTTGTTTTCACTCACTTCAACCTGCACTAAAAGAAGCGTGACTGTTAAATCCATTCATGCCTGTTGTTGTTGTTGTTGTTGTTGCTTGATGTGTTTTTACGTTCAGGCTAAAAGGCGCAAAGAAACGTGCATGAAGTCATTTCTTTAGCTCTGCAGCAAAAAGACTCATTGACGACTGCAGACATTTGGACGCGATCCGCCAAACAAAACTGAGCTGCCGACTTTTTTTCTCCAACAGAAAAAAGGGGCCGACCTTTTTAGAGGCATTCTAACATGTTTCATGTTCAATGAGCAAATCCCATCACCGTCCTCCGCCGCTGGCCGGCCCCCCGAGCCGATGCCAGTCAGCTGCCGACGCTTCCTGGAGACGAGGAGATAATTCCCAGAGAGACGACGCCTCTGAGGTCCAACGTGGTGAGATCAGACTGCCTCATCCGCTGAGTCCTGGTTCTGGTTCCTCTCCAGCTGGACCGAGCTTAGCCAGTTTCTTCTAGGTCTTTTTCTGTATTTGCGCTAACCGTCAGATAGTCGGCGACTGATGTATCAACAATATTCACTCTGATCCAATAAATGTTGATCTAAGAATTGTATGATTCTTAATCACAGCCAGGATGCTTTGATTTGTTAACTGTTTCTCTGCCTTAAATGGGAACAACACCACACCTTTTGGAATTTTAAGGACTGTTAGTTTGGGTGTATTCAACATTGGGGAACACAGGTTTTAAATACTGTACAACGGGTTTTGTGTTTGGACTGTATGATACTTCTTTTGAGTCCAAAGGCCCGTGCGTCTACTTCCTCTCAGGTGGAGTCCATGTCGGCGCCTCGGCACTATCGTGCATTAAAATCATCGTTGAAAACACTCTGAGGCGCGAGAGGTTGAAACGTCGAGTCCCGCTGTCGGGTAAAACAAAGCCCAGTTTGGTGTTTCCCTGCTAATCCCGCGAAACAAAGTGAGGTCCAGAATAAAGCCACGCATTAAGCTGGCCCGGCTTCAATGTGTGCGGAAACGGCAGCAGAGCGGCCGCAAGTAATGGCAGCAGGCGTGTGGGAGTGTTTAATGGAGAGTGGAGTAATTTGCGCTTTTTAATGATGATTAGAGGAGGAAATTGGCTCAGATTTACAGTGTCACCAGTGAAACAGAGGAGGGAGAAAATAGAATAAAGGCCTTTAAATTCTCCCCTACTTGTGTGTGTGTGTGTGTTTTCAGGCGCGCACAGGTGTGAGACAGGGGAGAGACCCGTAACACACGACTGCCCCCCCCCCCACGCCGCCGTCCCACAACACCCATCCACCCACACGGCTCCACACCTCCCCTTTCAGAGGAAATGTATCACTTTAAACCCACCGCAGCTCAGCTCACAGAACGTAATGAATCTGGACTCAATTTTACGCCTAGCTGCCCATCCCACTGACACACACACACACACACACACACACACACACACACACACACACAGTTAATACCGAGGCCGTCTTACCTATAGCTGGGTGGTGGTTCTTTGTGACGTAGAGAGGAAATTGGAAAAGTGTGATTATGGCACTGATTGGCAGAGCCTTTTCTGTCCCCTCATCTACACTTTGCCCTCCGCTTTGACCTCTCCGTTATCCGATGAAAACCTCCTGACTTGCGTTGCCTCTTCGTCTCTTTCTTCTACTCCTCTCGGTCCCACCCTTCTTTTTCCCCCCCACATTGATTGCGCAGTTTGCCAAATTAATAGACTGAATAAAAGTGCACTGAAGGAATAAAAGTAATTTGCTGAAGTTGGGAATAATAATTAGAAAATGTTCATGGATATTTGTGCCGGTCATGTTTTGCCTGCAAAGAATACATGGCTGATATTCAGATTACATTCTTTTATTTAGTCTGACTTTGCCTTTGGAGGTGAAATATTACATTTTGCCTTCAAGCATACATCATAATTTGATATATAGTGTAATATGGAGTCAAGCCGGGTAATGCTAGCTTTTAACCTTTAGCATATTGACTGGCACTCTCTACCTTTTGAATGTGCTTGTTGCATATTCCCATTAAGATGTCCTCATGGAAAGAAAGCAAAAAGAGGTAAAATTGTATTTAATTACCACAACATACTAGTGTGTGTGGTTGTTTTAGCAGAAAGATGGCTAGCTTTTTGAGCTCTCCGATGTTCCCCGAGCTAATATCCTTTAATACGACACGTTAAGGAGACCTTTGAAAGGGATTTATGTTCTGAGCAACGCGCTCTCCTCCCGACGGCAAATGTTCAATGTTCCCTGAGTCAACATGTAAAAAACATTTACCGACAGCTTTATGGTCTAGTGACAAAAACCCCTTCAAACTAACGCCCTCAAATTTGCAGACAGAAAGTGTTCTTTACTTCAAACACTGATATCTGCACACTAGCTTAAGGGATTTTAACCATTAAAAACGTCATTCTTCCTTCATTCTCTTGCGATTTGAACTGTGAAAGTAGCCCTTATCACAGCTAGCTGTGTTAGCTTCATAGCTTCAACTAGCCTCTTGTTGGACTGGCTTCGGCCTTGACTTTCCACAGGTTTCCACCTTCTTTTTTTACTAAGAATTGACATGTGACTCAGTTTGTATTGTAGTAACTTCAGCAAAAATGCACGTTGAGACAGAGTAACAACTAGCCTGTTAGCTAGCTACTCATTTAGCAACTGGGAGATGTTTCCCCTCTGAGCTTTCTGGGTGTGAACCATTAAGGCCTCAACTTTAGAGGTAATGACAGATTTAACTGTTATCAGTGATATTAAGTATGTCCAGATAATTGGATATTATTACCTGATGACACCTTTGACGCAGCATGGCTACGCTTTAGCTTAGCTACGCTTTAGCTTAGCTTAAACAAACATTCACCAGGTAAACAAACATTCACCAGGTAAATAAACATTCATCAGGTAAACAGGCATTTACCAGGTAAACAAACATTCATCAGGTAAACACCCATTCACCAGGTAAACAAACATTCGCCAGGTAAACAGCCATTCACCAGGTAAACAAACATTCACCAGGTAAACAGGCATTTATCAGGTAAACAAACATTCACCACGTAAATAAACATTCACCAGGTAAACATGCATTTACCAGGTAAATAGCCCTTCACTAGGTAAACAAACATTCACCAGGTAAACAAACAGTCACCACGTAAATAAACATTCACCAGGTAAACAAACATTCACCAGGTAAACAGGACTTTACCAGGTAAACAAACATTCACCAGGTAAACAGGCATTCACCAGGTAAACAGCCATTCACTAGGTAAAAAAACATTCACCATGTAAACAGGCATTTACCAGGTAAACAAACATTCACCACGTAAACAAACATTCACCAGGTAAACAAACATTAACCGGGTAAACAGTCATTCACTGGGTCGACAACAAACCTCGACACACTTTGAGACGTGGGCGTCGGAGCAGAACCAGCTACCCACAATTCTCTTGGAAAGCATTTCAAATGAACAACAACAAAAAAGTCAAATTTCGAAATGTTAATTGTGAAAATCTCACAACATAACTCTTCAGTTTGGTGAAAGCAAGCTGGCGCTGGATTGGTCTCCCACCTCCACTGAGGCCTCCGTGGGCTTTGAGAGGAAAGCTCTTCAAAATGGTTTTTAAATGTGACATTTAGTATGAAATCACTCAAACAATTTTGATCATTGATAACAACTTGAGAGGAGAGCGACCCTTAAAATACAGGTCTGTTATGATTCACACAAACCGCACACACAGACACACACAATAACGGCGCATACATTCTGTAATTCTGAAGATGAGCCGTGCAGCTTTTTTTTTAGGTGGAGAGCCGTAGCATGCATTTCTCTATTAAGATATGTAAATTCATAATCTCTCAAATACCCATTTTTTTTACATCCATTTCTCTCTGTCATTCAGCCTTCATTCTCTCCTCCTGTCGAGCCGTCTCTCTTTTTTTCCTCCTGGTTCGTGTGTCTGTCTGCTCTGTCGCACTCTCCCCTCTGCCTCCGTCCAAACAGCCGAACGCCAATGAAGGAGACTCGTCTCGTCCCTAAAGGCCAATTGTCAGGCATAATTACCATCAGAGAATTAGAGGTTGAAAAAGCAGATTAGATTAGAGCGCCCCCCCCCCCCCCCTCCTCCCCACATCTTTCTACTCTTCTAATGCATTGTTCCTCTGCACTCTTTATTTTTCTCATTATTATAGAATTAAAGAAGAAAGAAATGGGAAATTAAAGTGCGGAAAAGAAAAAGAACAGAAAATAATACTTTGCATCACGACTGCGGCCAATGATTACTTTTATAATACATTAATTTGTCCACAATCTTTTATTGTAATTGTTTTCTTTAAAAAATGAGAATTAAAATCGTGATAAATGCCACTTGACAATTTCCTAAAGCCCGTGGAAAATTCTATAAATGTCTTGTCCGACTAACAAGAGAGTACTAATAGATATTTCATTTTAATACAAAAATCTTTGTATTTGGGAAACTAGAAAAAGAAGACTTAATGATTAATGACGCAACTTATTAATCTTAAAAACCATAAAAAGAATCAAATCCAGTAAGGCATTAATCACCCAACCATTTCCACTAATTGTTCAGGGCTAAATAACAGAAACGCCTCCAGAGGAAGCAGTTTGTAGAAGTATATATATATATATATCTATATATCTATAAATCTCTCATGATTTATGATCAGTGGCATGAGGTTGCATTTGCTTCAGCTATACACACACCTAATAATCGTAGTCTATAGACACTCGTGTGCACGCGCATGCAAACACACACGCTTATTGATTGGCTGGGCAAGCCTTCAATAAAGCCCCCCCCCCCCCCTCTGCAGCCGTCTACCCTTTTCCAGACACACATCAACCTGCACGCACACACACACACACGTACACACCAGCTTACACTTTCTCTAAAGCTCCCACACGGACGGGCGTAGCGCGACTGTGTTCGACAGAGTGAGGAGTAAAGCTCGATTTGGTCCTTTGGCACCCTGGAGTTTGGATCCTGTCGCCGCTCTTTGGCTCTCCTCTGTCACTTCTGCCTCGCCAACTCTGCCGTTCGCTTTCTGTCGCACACGCACACACACACACACACACACACACAGAGCATGCCAACTGTTACACTACCCGAGCCAGAATGACCATGTGTTGTTGTATCCTTCTAATGTCTCCATCACAACAGCAGCCCTTCTAATAGCGCTTGATCTTCTATGACACCATACGCTTTATTTTAGTTTTCTAATGTCCTCCTTGTTCTACACTGGTATTCAGATCAATGCAGGCTGACATCATTGAAACGCAGCAGGCCGATCTTTACTCTCTATCTCACACACACACACACACACACTCTCACGCGCCTCCTAGAATCAACACAATAATTGAAATATTTTCAACCTGATTAGGTCTGGCCTGCTGGCTGGGTCGGTTGCTAGGGCTGTGCTCCCTGGTTGCTAGGGGGAGTAAATCATCTGGCATTATTTGATTTCTGTTCCAGATATGAAACCGTTACCGCGGCGATTAAATGTCTCACAGCTTAGACACCTTGAGGGGGGAAAAGACTGAGGAGGAGAAAAAAAAAAGGGGAGAGACGGAGAAAGAGATTAAGTTGAGGAGGGAGGGAGGAAGTGAGAGGGAGGGAGGGAGGGAGAAACCCCTCGTGAGAAAGAAATATGAGGAAAAGGTGAGAATGATAATGCCTAAATACAGAAATGCAGCTGGCGTGTGAGAGAGAGAATAACACGGTATTAAGGATGAATTGTTTCCCTGCACCTCCAAGTCTCCGTCGACCGTTATTTCCTCCCGACGGCTGACAGGTTGTTGTACGCGCGCGTGTGTGTCTGCACGTGTGTGACAACCACATGTTTATGCTAGCAGTTTCCAACGAGACTGACAGGCCTGCATCCCTGTGTGCGCGTGTGCGTGTGCGTGCTCATGGAGCTGTTGATATAGAGACGTCCACACAGTCACGGCGAGGGCGCAGGGATCCGCCCACACGCGGGAGCCGTGGGCGTTCTGAAATGTTTATAAAACACAGACTGAACCAAGTCGTCCCGCCGGGAACACGCGTGGCACACGGAAGGAGACGAGACGAGGGACGAGAAAAAAAAAGAGTGAAGGGGGGGGTTCCTCGTTCCTCCGCCGTCGTTGTCGAGTTAATGGTTCAACACCAACATTTATCATCAAAATAGCATGTTGAAAAAAATGCTTCTTCATTTAATCTCCGTGTAACAACGCGCACAAAGGGTGTGTGCAAAGATTTACGGCGTGGATGTACACCTGAGGAAAGAATGAAGTCAGAGCAAATAGTTGTGATTAGGTTCCACGTGTAGCATGAATGAGCAAAAACTTCAATTTGCTTAAAATGAAAAACAAATGAAATTCAATTGAATATGGTAAAATAAACGTATGCTTACGTTGTCGATCAAGGTCTTGGTGGCGATTCTTCAACGTTAGCTTGTTTTTTGGTAACGAGTGCAGTTATTAAATCAAAGAGGACTGAATCCGGCCTTCGGCTAAACTAAACCCAAACATGTGGAAATACAGACTACAGACCGAAGGTGCAGAAAAACAGACAACGCAACCCGTTCCTCGTATTGTCAAACACCGAGCCCTCAAATCGCACGTGTGAAATCCGTGTGGTAAACCACAACATGTCATGTTCGCACGGTTCATGTTCACCTCTCAAAGGCTGCGAGAGTGAAGGATTACAGCAGCGCCTGGTTCTGTGTGTAGCTGCCTTTCTCCCTCCCTGTGTGTGTGTGTGTGTGTGTGTGTGTTTTCCGAACATCGCTGAGTTACACAAAGCTACTTGAGCGCGTTGTCAGACGGAGTGATGACAGTCAAAGAGTAGGAGAGATGATTGTGTACCTCTCCACCTGAAGAGCTGCCGCGCCGTTCTATGTCAAGCACCCCCGAATAGTTCTGCGTTGGATCACCAAAATACACGTGGAGGGCCGGCCGTCGATGGCGAGCGTCTCTCAGCCAACGAGCTCGTTAACCCGGCGACCTTCCGCGCGCCAGTCGCTCAGCTCCATCGGAAATGAACGGACTTGTGGTGACTTGTTGTTTGTGTTGTTTGTGTTGTTTTTGTGGTCAACGTGAGGCCGGGAGCCCGAATTGGAGGAGACGTTTTGTTGAATTAAAGAATTAAACTGCAATTACAGAAGAAAGAATAAGAAAGCAAGACGTTGGTGAAGGTCGGGCGTCCTTCATTCTGTTTGGGGTGAAGAGTCTCAGCGGATACGACCCCCCGGGGCTCTGAGTGGGTGAACCACAGCGCGTGTTACAGGAGGGCAAAGGTCATCTCCATTGACTTCTCATTTCCTCATTATATAACTTGGCTTAACCTTTGCCCTCCAGATACGTTTCCTGTTTTTTTGATTAAACATGAATTAATACCCAAGTATTGATAGTAGAGCCTTTGCTAAGCCCCGCCCCCCGCTGCTCCTCCATCGAGCTGTCAGAGCCGTGTTACCATGGAGCCCAAACTGTCACTAACTGCACTCTCAATCAAAAAGCGGTATCAGAGCAGACGGAAGTGTCTATAATGAGTATTTGAAGGATACGCGCAAGATGTCAAACAGAATCAGGAGGAAAAGATAAGGAAATAGAGGCTAAAGCTACAGATACCGTGTGAAAGTGAACAACAAGAGAAGAACACTGTTCCTGTGGAGCTGGTTAGGTTTTCATTAGTCGTAAATTGCCCCATGTTTATCAAGACTATAAGCTCACGATACACCAAACCAGCCCAAACACTAAGACAATCGGAAATTCATGAGATTCTTTGTAAGCGAGCCGATAAAAGAAAGAAAACGGTTGGGAATGGCTGAAGCTACGCTGCGATTGGCCATTCTGCGATCGAGGGGCGGGACTTAGCGATGGGTTAATCCCGCTCAGTGGATGAGCAGTATTATGGTGGCTGATTTTAAAATGTGGCTGATATGATCTTCAAGGGAATCAGTTTGTACCACAAACCACCACAATCAGGCAGAAGTACAACACGTGTGTGCGGAGGCCTCGTTAATAATCAGCGTCGACGCGCTTCAGCAAACCAGCTCACCCCACCACTGAATTTACACTGAAAATACATAGCGTTGGAATTAGTAGAAAAGACCATTTCAGCTGAAATGAGTGTGTTGTTGTGTGTTAAACCGTATTGATTTTCCCGTTAGTGTCGCCGTTGTGATAATGACGACAAAACGGCAGCCTCACTTCCTTCCATTGATGTAATATTAGTCACACTTTAGGGGTAGTTTGCTAACTGCAGTGAAAAGGATCATTGTGGGTTTCTGGCCCGAAAGTACACTACTCTAATTGCCTTAAACGTGTTTCTCCCATCAGCCAGTCGATACGCCTGCAGTGCGTGTGTGTGTGTGTGTGTGTGTGTTACACTGGTCAATAAAGCGTGTGCTAAGAGGCAATTGGTTGTTTTTCCTCAACTTGACACGTTAAATGCAGTCACACTTCAGGTAGACGCACATGGTCACACTCACAATTACACTCGCCGCGTGCACGGGCGCGCGTGCGTGTCGGGTAAACGGTATTGATCGTGTCCTGTTCTCAACTTATTTTCCCTATAACCCCTCAGAGCTCGATCCCACTCGCCGGCGGCCGTGGAGAGTCTCTTAAATCACACCCACATGCAAACACAAACATTTATTCACGAGCGCGAACGCACCCACAGAGAGACAAAGTGCTTTTGTCAAAGCCGTTTATTGACCCAAATGAAAAATAGATGATTTGAAAATGTCCACTGACTGACTTGAATTACAAACTTTTAATTGAAGGCTGTATTTGACGGGGGTCTTATAGTCGGGCTCGAGTTGCTTTGATTCTTCACGTCACGGCGATGTTTCTGGAAGGTACGACCGGTTCACCGGTTTTATTTGAGCCTGGCCGTAAAACAACGCCGTAAAACGCCAAGTTAAACCTCCGGTCACTGCACTTTTCTGACAAAACTCTCTTGTTAACTGACATGTAACTTCCTCTTTTGGTTTTACTAAATCTTCGAATCTTAGCAATCAACTCGGTTTATAGAAACCGAAAAATTACTGATAAACATAAAAAATAACTGCTAATACCTCAAATTAGAGCGAAGCTTTCAGCCTGCACGCTATGAATTAACTGAGAACGTCCTCGGAGGTGTGATTCTGTCTCGGTCCTAAATCTTCATTTGTACTGAGTTTGTTATGTGATGAACAAAGCTGCATATTTAGAATTCCTTCAGATTCTCTTGTCTTTTCCTACGTCTTCGTAAAGTCAAATAAAAGACATTAGGACTTTTTAAAATGACTTAATAGTTAACTTTTCCAAAGATACACAGAGGAGGTTGTGTAAAGAAAAAGATGGTGGATTTTTAGGTTCACCCAAATAACGGAAATTGATATTTAGCAGTGCAGTTTTCTTTCTGTTTTATCTACCATGCTTCATTATGTTCTGTGTCACTCTCGACTGTACATAATGGAAGATTAAAGCAGTTTTGCTTACTTGTTCTTTATACGTATGCAGTCAACAATACTCTGCCTGGTGCAGTTATCCGGGGCTCCGCGTAAGTGGTGCACCCCCTAAATCTGTCCCCCCCTACAACAGTACTGCAACAAACGATCCTATTGTTACACGCTTCTCCTCCGGAGCATTGACCTTGAGATTTCTATACAATCTTTCGATTTCTCTCGATTCTCTCTAGAACGATTCGGTCTCGAGTCAGAAAAGTTGCGTCGCGCGAGCCAAAGTTTGTCTCGATATTTGCTTGGGTTAGTCTCTGCTCGCGCTCGAAGGTGTTTTCTACGCGCTCGCTGGTTTTCTTTCTGACAGTAAGGGGGCGGAGCCAGTCACCATGGCCTCTACACCTGATTGGTTACAAACCCCGTCTGTGGATTGGCTGGAGTGACGCATTCACACAACTATAGCAGCCCATTTCCGCACTAATGTAAGGGGATAGAAAGTCGAAATTATGAGATAAAACGTTGTCAAAAAACAAACGCCCCCCTTCGGTGATCGTGGTGGACCGTAGATGACAACCAGCTAGAACCATCATTTACCATCATTACCGGCACATTAAGAGCAATGCGTCCAGCTCGCAGACCGGTCCGTCAGTCTGAATCTGAATATCTAATAACTTTACTGAACTATGGAGGAGCCTGCGCACATCTTACCTCATTATTTCCATTTTACAAAAAGTCGATCCGTATTGAAAGTCGGCAAGATATTCACAGATTTGGACCTTTTTCCGGTATTTTACAAATACGGACCGGTCTGAGACTAAGAGCAGCTTTTTCTTCATTTAAAAGAAAAATGAATCTGTTTAATATTTCTTTTACATGGGCTACTTCCATATTGTGTTGAAATGCAAGCTGCATTGGTTCATTGTTGATATAAAATCATATTTGTGACAAAGATTTTTTTTCTCTTATAAAAAATTAGAGAAGGTAATTCATCTGTTGATTTTCTTTAATTATCAAATAAAGTAGGAAGTGATTAGCAACCTCTGAGTAGCAAACTCAAATTTGAGAAAATTTAGAAAATCGAGATGTATCGATAATCGTTTTATCGGTTT